TCTGTATTCCAAAATAAATCTTTATTTCCAATTTCCTCTGTTTCCTTCTCAGTGTAAAACTGCATGTATTTGCTTGGCATGAGCAACTGCCAATGATATGATGATAGGAAAGGAAACAAGAAGACTTGAATTTATGCCTTCCAGCTTCCTCCAGTGCTGCTCTTCAGACTTTCCTGAACATCAAGAAACTTCTTTCTTTATTCTCCTCTAAACCTCTCCTCACAAGCCCTCTGTGCCAGGATACCTAAATAGAGTTTGCCAATTGCCAGACTGCTCCTAAGCTGAGATTGCTGCTTATTGTATTGATTAATATAGCTGTGTACCTATATATATATCTCTCTACATGAACATACGTATACATAGTCCTCATTTTCTGCAGGCAGGCAGCTATTCCTTGCCTTATATTTAGATAGGAAGGCCTTTGAAACCATTTTTTTCTGGCTAACCTACAAAGATCTTAGGCAATGACAAACACTGGTATGTGCCATGGATAAACAGTAACTATTGCTGAGAACTTTACCATGATTTTATGGTATTTGTCTCTCTCTATTAATCCAATTTTGAAATCTGAAAGCATTCTATTATCAGCATTTTGCTTCTTTTTTATGAACTTAGAAAAGAACATGCCCTCTCTTCCCTGTGCCAGTGGAACCATTAGGAGAAGCAGTGAAATGAACAGCCTGAATTTATTTTCTGCAAATGATGAAGCTGGCAGCTCCATAAAAATTAAGTTTCAGAAAGACCCCATGCACAAAATCCTCAATTTTCTAATAATAGACAAAATTCAATAATATCTCCTTGCTAATCTTGATGCCAAATAAGAATAATAAGAAATGAACTTTATTGACATTTATAGAGGGTAATAAGAACTCTTAATACAATGTCAACTGGTCAATCAAGAAAGGCAGAAGGGCAGAAAAGCGGAGACCAGCAGGGAGAAAGAAATGATGAGGTCTGTCTAGGATGACTGCTGAAGGCTGAAACTTTAACTTAAATGGCTAAACATATAAATCCAGACTTATTTTATTTGCTGATTTACCCAAATATATCTACAAGTCTGTACTTTAGCTTGCTAAACTGTTATTTAGAATTAACCCTGGCCTTAGTCTTTCAGTTGTTTTTAAATTTTTTTACTGTTTCCTCTATAGTCTCCAGTCCCATTTTCTTTTGGCAGTTATTCACTAAGCTAAGGAGAGGTAAATAAACCTTTCCGTAAGTATCTGCAAACAGAATGTGAAACAAGTCTGCAGAGAACATTGGGTTTTAGCCTGAATCATCACACAGTTTGGAGGTCCTGGTTTGGGGGATTATCAGTCAGTTGTACACGATGAATCAAATTTAGGGGTTTTGAGCACCAGCTACTGAGGCCAAATGGAGTTGCAAGCCAGCCAAACATTTCTGAATAAGGTTGGTATGGAAATGTAACTTTTTATCCAATTACAACCTAAGACAGCAAAGAGCGTTAGAAATACGCAATAACTTCCTATTAAGGAGGTAATGATAGTATCCTGGATTCAATGCATTCAGTATTACAGCTATTCAAGATTATATGAGAAGCATTAACAGAGCATCATTATTCAGTCAGATGTGTGCTGGAATTTTATTGGATTTTTGCTGTTTTATTTACCTTACTGTCAGAACAAGGTCTTCTGTTCACACAGGAATGTGTTCTTAGGAAACACATTAAGATCACTTTGCTTTCACAAAGATGCTTATTAAGCAAACTAATGTTGATTGATGTTAAATTTTATTTTTGTATGGTTAGTATCAGTATCTTGACATTTAAAGCCTCTGCCCAAAAGCTGTTGGTGTCTTGCATTCCCATAGTCTTGCTATAGAACTCACTTACTGTAAATGCATGGTAGATATTTTCCTAGCCTGTAGACAAAGGCCCAAATGGAAGAGCAGTGAGAGGGAGGAAGGAAAGAATCAATATATCTTATAAAGTCTTTTAATGCAATGTTGTTTTCAGAACTGTAAGTGCCATTTTATCTACTTTGTTTTACCCCCTTCTTCAGGTGTTGGAACTGCTACGTTTAAAATGCAAAGTGTAAAAGCAGAGATGGTGCCTTTTTTCTCCTTCTGGTAAACAGCTTAAAAATTCTGCAGATTAAAGATAAACTGGGATAGAAAGTATAAGAACCAATTAAGATAGAGTGACTTTTATACACAGTGCAGTTATGGAAAAACAACTGTACTGTGATTATGCAGATCATCCACTCACAACCAAAATGCAGGGATTTACATAACGGAGAAAAAAATTCTTCAGTTATGCCTCAGTAACCTTACAGAATTCTTGCACTTTAACTGTATGACTCATTGTAATAAAATGATCCCACTTGCTTTATCCAGAGTGAAATATATGTTAGGACATCACCATTCTGAATGATTTGTGTGCTTTTGGAAGCCTACACTCTCCTGCATGTTCTACTTTAAAGAGATACAAATTAATGAAAAAAACAGAATCTTTGCTCGTATCTATCAAAATATTAACTGAATTTACACTGCTCTTGAAATAAATGTAAACTAATACAAATGGGCCCTCTCTTCTTCTTGGAACTTTTATTTCCTCATTCTATTAAATTCATCCATTTCTGACAAAATAAGACTTCTCTGGTGCATATATTACAGGAGGAAACATCAGTATAATTTAAATTGCACAGACCCTACCTTGTAGTTTTGTGCAAGTGAAATCTTAATGGGAATCCTGATATTTTTAGTTAGTTAAGTATGTCTAGGCGATGTAACTTGTGACTTCTGTGTGTTCTACTAAACATACTATTTTAAAAAGATGAATGTTCTATTATAAGCCACATGGAAGGTACAGTATTTTTTCAGCTGGGTGTAGTTTGCTGTACCTTTATTTTTGTCATGATGTATTCCACTATTTGAATATTTTTTAAAAATATAAGCATGACTTGATATTGTGTAATTTCTATGAAAAACCAGAAAGAGGAGACTATATATAAATTGGCCCCTACTATGGCTTGGCTAGTGTATCACTCAAACCAAGGTGATTGCAGGTGAGCTTCTTCACAAAATGGGTACATTCTATCCTATTATACATTCATTAAATTATGATGGCTTATTTTCCATCTGGAGATATCTTAGAGGCAACTAAAACATTTAATTATTTTTCTCTTGCATGTAGATGATGGAACACTGGAAAAAAAAATCCTCTTGCAGTTATTATTGAGCTTTCAAAGCCTTCCCTGTCATATGGGGATAAACACGAGACCTTTGGAAGTTTTAAATCAGAACATACATGAACTAGAAAACAGGCTTGTCACTGATCTGCAAAGATTAGACAACTTGCTCACAATGGCATTCCTTTGCCATGTGTAAGACTCAGGGTCAGGTCTTCAGTTTTAATCTACTAGAGGAAAAACCTGGTCCATGGTCTTGGAAGTGTTCTTAGAGCCAAGTATATGTGCTGCCCCAGTGCGGCCTCTTCACCGTCTTTATTCTCTCTCACACAGCAAGAAATTCGCAGAAAGGCACCATGAAAATTATTTGGTTGGAACAAATTTACATTCTGCTCTGTTTTAAGAGAGATTCTGAAAAAATTTCCAACCAGCTCTAAGAGGTAAAGTCTGACAACTTTTCTGCCACAATTAAATCCTCAGCTTTTTAATAGGCTGAGGATTGTTTTTCCCATTATATCATCAGGCAATTTCATTTCAGTATGGTCTGCACCGGACTGTGCAGATTACCAAACTAATGACATACGGACTTCTTACCACTTAACACTTCTGTGCTTGCAAGTGAGAATTTCGAGTGACAGAGTGAGGCTGTTTGCTATCAATTTTGCAAAAACTGCATCTGCCAGATTGCCAAGGTCCATTTCAGAGACAAAAAATCATTTAATATTCTAATTTGTTATCTGTCTTTATCAGTCACACAACATTTCTTTATACAAATGACAACCTTCTAAAAATGAAACCTCTTACAAATGTTAAAATTCTTCCCTGAAAATACTTTACATTTACTTATTCTTCTGATGTAAAAGTTATTAAAGATTGAATCTCCCTCTAATGCCTGCTGTTAAAACACAGGTACGCACATAGCCTTCACCTTCATATCTACAAAAGTACCAAAATTATCTGCTTGTATCATTAGATAATTTTTCTGTCAGTTAGAAAAAAGACTTTTTCTTTACAATAAGAAACAACATTGACAATGTTGGATTAGCTGCATATTTAATACCAATGTATGCATACTAAAACATACCAAGCAGGTTCAAGAACCCCAGTATTATCAAAGACAACAGCAAAAAGTTAATGCTTATATTTTTTTTACAAATGTGAACAAATTGAGGCCTCAACTTTGAATCAATATTTTCTAGCACAGACCAAAAGAGTTCTGCTGACTTTAACCCTGTTGACTTCACTGGTACTTTTAAAGTATTCTGCATAGGTACTGGAACTCATGTGAACAACGTTCAATGGCTGATCTAACAGAATTCCTGAGTGGGAAAACCATGGCCATCTTCAGATATTATTGACGTATTAGAGCTATTTCCACGTTAAAAAGCCATTTTCTCACTTTTTCTACATTTTCTAACCCCCAAAGATACACAGTTTCCTTATTTTCTCAATATTTACGAGTTCTGGCCAAATTTTGCTTTAAGGTAATACGCGCACACACATTTATCATGAACATGAAACACTATGTGTTACTATTAGGAAAATCTTATTGATCCTACAGTCACTGTGAAGTTTTGCCATTCCACTTTTGATGACTCAGCAATAATTAAGCAGTAAAAATTACCAAGACAATCTGATATTTCAAGAATAGACTCAAATTACATATGAGTTTGATCCTATTTTTTCTACTGCCATTAATTTTGAGGAGCTTACTAAACCAGGTTTACCTTCTGATTTTTCTATTTTTGACTAGAAAACATTTAGTATAGGGTCTAAATAAATGACAAAGAAGAAAATGTCAAGCTAAATCTAATCTGCCAACAGAAGGTTTTTAATCAATCAAGCTTTACTTACATGGAATTTTGTTCAGTTCATTCATGAACTTCTCTTTTAACTTAGAAAATGCATCTTCTTTTCCTCCCCCTCCTCCAGGACTGGCTGGCTCGGTGACATTACTTGGAGGGGCTGCTGCTACTGTGGTAGCTGGCGGTGCTGCCAGGGCCTCATGATGGCTTTCACTCACCATTTTAACCCCTGGGTAAGCTGCTGAAATAAAAAAAACCCACAACAACAACAACAGTTTAGATCATTGAAATGGATTTCTCATCAATAAAAGATTAAATAGGCAGACTATCACTCGGTGCTCACGCTTACTGGGTAAATACGACTGCATCAGCATATTGCTTCATGTTCTTCATAAAATATTTATGAGACAAAAGTATTTTGCAGGGTTAATTTCAGCCAGAATCATTTTATTGCTTAGAGTTCTTCTCCAACACTGTTGCATTGTGAACTGCTGAATTTGAAACCCCCAAATTCCTGTAAAACTCTCATGTAGATTTACGTTTTGCTCTTCAATTTTGAAAGTATAAGTAAATTGGGTAATAACTGCTCCCCATGTGCAAATTTCACAGTGTATTTACAGGATTATTTTTATATGAGAGTTACAGAGGTGTGGCTCATAGCCAAAGTATCTATATAAAATAAATGAAGTGATCAGGATATAATAAAAACACTTCAAGATTTTCTGTCAAAGTAATAACCTACTGTTTCCTATTTAAGCAAGCTGTATATTAAACAGAAATTGATTTGCATCCATCCATTTTTCATTTTCTGAAGCACTTTTCCTTCCAGTTATTTCATGTGACATTTGCTACTGACAATATTTACTTAAATTATTCAGATGTCTCATCGGTGTATTCATGAAGCTACGACATCTGTAGGGTACCTAAATGCAGCCATACTGAAATATCTGAAAGACTGTCACGAACATAATTCCACAACAGCATATTTTTAATTTCATGCTGTTTAATGGGCATTTTGCAAAACCTTTACTTGAGTGTACATTACAAAGCAAAGAATTTTGAGCCACTGGGGTGAAGGTGAGACGCACAAAGCAATTTCAGTATCACAAGAAGGTTGGCTGAAATGTTTATATTGGTTTTGAACACATTGTTCTGATTTTCTGCTGCATCCTAAATATCACTGATCTGAATAATCATTCTGTTCTTCTTCAGAAAACCAGAGGTAGAAAGGGTTTGAGAGATAACAAACATTCATCATTGCCCGGAGTGTATAATTGCTCCCAGCCTCAAAAGACATTTGGCCTTTGACCTTTTGCTGAGAACTTTAAACATCACCACAGGAAAAAAAGGCAACACATCAAAATTGAAGGGGCACAGGAGCGCCTGACTGCATGCACTACGATGAATCATGAGCTTTCCTGCCTTACGTGACTGTTTTCATGGATGTCGCTGAGAGTGCTCAAATCACTAAATCGAGATGAGGATCGGCTTTTTGTCCTTCAACTTTACTTCTACGAGCCTGCAGTCACGAAGACCTGCAGGCGCAGACCTGACTGCAGGCAGAATCAACCTTTTGAAATCACCCACGTCATTCTTGTCATTAAACAGGGGTTTGCACACAAGTGTAGTCCGGAATAGAAGCCATCCTCCAATACTGTCATTTGACGAAAAAGATTTTAACTAAATAGGGGGTTGGCCTTGTTCTGAAGAAGCACTTTGGTGGATATTTTGCAGCAATTTCACTGACGCAGCACTGAATGGAGCGGTATTCCCTGCCTGCCCATCGCTTCTGCCTTTGCCCTCACAGTCTCTAGCCTAATATGAAATCACGTTGATGTTGACACAGAATATGTATATGATACAGCTCCATAAATATTTCATAAGCATGCAGTCTTATCTATTT